GTGTGTGTGTTCTGATTTTATGGTCAAGTTTAATTCAGATTCTCTCTCTCTCTCTCTAAACTCAATTATAAACTCTGTATTGCAGACGTAAACCTTAAAGTCTTTGAAATGTACACTTTAGTACAAATCTAGCCTTGTCTTTGATATTTTAAAATTTTATAAAACTTTTTTCTTTTGGAAGTGTTTAAATTTTTCATAGGAAGCTATATTTCCTACTTCATTAAGTTATTTTTCCAGATTTTTGGGTGAAAGCTATAAAAGTTCTTTATTTCAACTTTTTTGGTATTGTTCCGTTGAACCATTTATTAATTCTGTTGCATTAATATCAAATTAATTTTGTGATTTGCTAACTTTCTGCAAAGAAAGGTAAAGATGTCAAGTTTAGCTGATCATGGTAACCGAATAAGAGGAATAGTTTGAAAATTAAATGTTTCAATTCAGTACAGGCTGATTCAGTTTTAAAGTTTTTTAGGTAATTATTATGAACTTGCATTGTGTTCAAAAAGTATATTATATTTGAAATTTAAAAAAACTGGCCTCCAAAGAGGAATTTTCTCTTATGTGAGATTTGTACACAAAGCCTCTGTTTGTGAAATATGCTGTGAAACATTGATAGTTTTGTTTTGTCTTCACGTGGAGATAAAAGAAATGGCATTCAATTTCATGTTAATGCAAAATAAATGTATTTAACATTTTCATTGGTTTTTTGTATTTAAGAATTAACGGTTAAAAAATTTATATATACATCACCTTTGTTATTATTCGAAAAATATTTCATTGTTCCCTGTTTCTTCATGTAATGCAGAATTTATCATTAAACAGACACGAATACTAATATTGTTATATGAAAGATGTTTTTCCTTAATTTAAATTCCTCTTATCTGTGTTTGACAAAATAATTCGGGAATTATTATTATCAAGTAATTTTGTTTTTCTGGCATGGACTGGAAGATCCTTACTTGTGTGTATGAAGTTAAACTACTATTTGAGTTTTTGAGTGCTACTTAGATTATGTTTATCTCATTATCTCTTGGTCCATTACAGCCAAAGTTTTTGAATTCTGAAAACGTTTTTAGAATGACACAAGTTTAAAAATTATTGTTCCAAAGTTTTTCTCTTTCCCCTGTTTAAGAAAAGGAAGAGAAAATGCTACCTTGTAATTTTATCTCAATTTCTGTATTATTTGTGACCTGTTCTTGAATTTATACAGAATCAGCTTTTTCTTTACTTTGACACTTCTAATTATCCACTATCTACATCACTGGTGTATTTGATTCTTCATAAAGACTTCCTGATAGTACCAGAGTATTGATTGTTATATCTGTTAACTTTGGAAAAAAAACATCTGAAGTGGGTCTCCAAGATCTCCCCAGTTTCTGAAAGTTACTCAGTGGTTTGAATATACTTAACACACTAAGATCTAGCTCACCGTAAAAGAAATTTTGAATCTTTGTTTTCTGTCAGCTTAATTATGCATGTGTGCAACATCATTCATAAATGTTATAGGCACTAAGTATACTTATCCGTGTAGGACAGACATCTCTTGGTATTTACTATATTTTGTATTTTCTATGTTTAAGAAGAAATCATCTTGTATGTGAATTCTCTTTGTTAGGCTTGCTTTTTTTTTTACTTTTTTACATAATGCAAAGAATGAAAATGTTATCAATTTGTCTACTTGTTAAAATATTGTTTGAGAGAAAAGTCACTTTTTTTTATTTCTTCTGATCATTATTTACAATCTTCTTACTATAATGGATATATTTATATATGTTTGTGACCAAACTAATAAATACAATGTGGCGCCATCTATTGAATGGCACCACAAACAAAAATCCATAAAAAAATTCGCTCTTTGGGTATTCAAGATTCAGATTATTAGAAAAATAATTACAATTAGTAATTACTAGCACAAACAGCTTCCCATGGGAAATAACCATTTACTTCAGGTTGTCAGTCATATAGCTTGCAGGAGTGTTTTGATCAGTCCTCGCAATATTATGCCCTAATCAAGTTTAATATTGCCAACATCCAAACATTATATGATTTGCATCTTACATCATATAATACAGCCTTTGTATATGAAGCTTTGTTTCCTTAATAAACACAAGTAACACGTCCATTCTGAGCTAACAGAGACTTAATCCAACTTAATTTTGAAGGCACTTCACGTTGACATTTTCATGAAAAATAAGTTGCCAATGTCTGGATAACAGAGAAATATTTAATATAGTTTCAGTTAATTTGAAACATGGTTTTCAAATTATATATGCATTTTTCTTCATTTCATTGGAATTTTCTTTGAATGTTTTTATTAAAGTTAAATTTTAAGTTGGTACTTGCCAAATTTTAATTTGTACTTGCCAGTAAAGAGCCTGTCGGAAATTATGGCACATGAACTCTCATTTCTTCATAACTCTGGCTGCCAAGTTGAAAAGAATGTAGTTTTGCTAATAAGAAAATTAATATCACATATATGGTAAAAGAGTCATCATATAACTTCATACTTATTGAACTTCCAGCTAATCAGAAACTTCAAACCTGTCAAAGCGTCATAATGACCCTCTGTATTATTTTAATTTCTTCAAATCCACAGAAAGTAGTCTTAAATCCTGAACATTGAAATGTTCCACAAGCTGACAAGAAATTTGTTACATAGCCACAATGTCTACATTTCTCTCAGGCATACATAATGGCTTTCTAACCAGTAACAAGCTTGTGATGATTGTGAGTCAGTCTGATACTACTTAATGAACTTGTATCATGTGGAAAAGATGCCTTGCTCCCTTTTAGCTTATCTGATGGATATGTAATAAATGTGTATAGAATAATAAGTATTGTAAAAAAAAACAGTTTTAACAAAAAAATATGTTGATTGCATTTCTTGTAAAAAGTTCTAGAACTTCACACTTGTTGAAATTGATATGTTAAATAATTTAAAAATAAGTTTTTGTAATGACACCAAATATAAATTCAAGTTTTTTCATTCAAATATTTAGTAGTTGTTTTATTCTTGTAATCTCTAAATAAAAGTAAATTATATATATTAATTAAAATTGAAATGTAAGTTTGAATTAATACTCATAGTGATTCAATATTTTTTATGGTAGGCACTGAATGAAGAAAGTAATGAGACAGACTGGGAAACTGCTAACATTGTGGGACTTTGTCGAGACCTTGAGAAACCATACCTCAGACTTACATCAGTAAGTTTCTCAGATAGAGAAAATCCTTGCTTGAGGTCGCTATTCTGCATGTAATTTTCAAAATGTACTTCTAGTTCTTTGTTGTTGTATGTTTATGAAGGTATGCTTCATACTGAATATCACATGGTTCTTTAAACTTATAGTGTTAACCCTTTCGAGACAGGACATAGGTGAAAGGCCACATCATCTCATTTGTTGACTCTCATTCAAAATTTTATTGAACTACTATTTCATGAATTTATATTAATAACTTTGATACCAAACAGTAGATTATAATTCAAATGTTAGTACTTTATATTACTCAATTTCTTAATTTAAAAGTAAATATTAAAAAACACATAGTATGTTGAATGCAGCACTGGTTCAAAAAAGATACTTGGGATAAGCAAATGTAGTTTCATGTTACAATCTGAAGTAATTCTAGAAATAATTTTTTTTGCGTGTATGGTTACAAGGTTGGTCAAATAAACCAACCTCCTATAGTACCTGATGATGACAAAACCTTGTCAAAACGTTGTACATTTGCTGTTATGTTAAACTTATATTAAAGTTTTCTTCGTTATCTATTTAAGTCATCTCCAAGCATTATTAAATTCGTATATGATTTAAGACTATATTATACTATTAAATAACTTTGAAGAGCAGCTACAAAATGAAATTGTTTAAATCCACAAAAGTGATAATACTGAAAAAACATACATATTTAACTGTTAAAAACTATATATTTATATCTTAAGAAAATAAAGTTGAGTTCAGTATGATAAGGATAACAAATTACATAAGAAATTTGTAATGTGAGTGTTAAAACTTCTGTTACAAATAACTTCTTTGTTCTGTATGTAGAAAGAAAATGTTGGTTTCTCCATGCAGTTATGTTTTTTAAAATCACTGTAATTTTATTTTCCACATTAAGAGCTATTATCAGTACCATGTTTCTAGAAAAAAATGGGTACCAATTAGAAATGCAGGAAGATAAAAATGTTATACCCATTTCATGGACCATAAGGCAATTTGAAATTGGTACTGCAACCTAGCTGAACAATATTTCTAAAACTTCAGAGTGATCGTGTATAGATGGATAGAAGCATAGATAGATTTCATATTTTTGCCAATTATAATAAGATAAAAATAACTTGTATAATTTTTTAGGTACCAGATGTTCCATTTATATCTTCAGTAGACTTTTTAATAATTCCTTTAATATGGTCAATTATCACTGAATAAAAAAGAAGAATGATAGGTAAACTTTTTATTTAAACAAAACTTTTTATCCATTATAATAAGAAAAAAATATAATTATAAAATGTTATAGGCACCCGATGCTTCATCTATTCGTCCTGTAGAGGTTCTTAAGAAGTCCCTGACCATGGTCAAAGATCACTGGATAAAAAACCAGGACTATCATTATGCCTGCGACCAGTTGAAATCTATTAGACAGGATCTAACGGTAAGTGATTATCTTCCTGAAAGAATGTACGTATGCTGGTTTTATTTTAAATAATGTATAGCTCTTATTTCTTATAATGTCTTCAATTTAGTAAAGGAAAGTTTTAAGAATATATAGAGGTCCAAACATAGCCATTCAGTTATTGTCTTTTATTTAAGTGGTAAAGCTAGCCTTATTTTACATTTATAAATAATCTTGTAATAAAGCATTTTCAGTACTACTATACTGAAGTATTATCAAAACAGGTAAGTTTATAAAGATGTAATCACTTTTTGCAAAAAAGTGCTTTAAGAAATGCAATGGAAAAAAAGAAGCGAATGCTGTGTAAACTTAAAAAAGATACATTATTAAAAACTAATTAAACAATTACCAGAAGTTTTTATGTACTTTAAAGATTTGTTTTTTATAGGTGATTTTAATTAATCATTTATTATATTGAGTACAAGCTTTTGCATTAAAGATTGTAAAGATTGTCTTGTTAGGTAATTTAAAACAATTTGTTGACCCTCAGTGTTAGAAAAGAAATTTTATTTTTTATTTATATTATTTTTTACTTTACATTTACTAAATGGAGAAAACAGTATTATGTAATAAGAAATGAGGTGTTAAGTGGTTTGCAAAATCAAAATTCAAACTACAGAAAGAAAGAAAAAAATATATATTTGGCAGGTGAACACTGTCAGATAAAACTAGTTTTTCATGCTTTAGTTTGCAGGATACTGCTGTTAAGGTGTTACTACTTGCACTATCATTTTAAATGCTTATTTATGTACTCTTACATGTGTATAAAACATATATTTAATAGTTTATTTTAGTTTATCTTATGATAAATACTATTGTAATTGTTAATTCATTTGAAAATGTAATATTTGTTATGTGTAACTATTACTTTAGGATGTGTACTTGCACAATCTAAGCAGTATGAAAATTGTCTTTTTCTGGATTTAAATCTGATGAATATGATGAGTTAAGAATATTGAGATTATAAGGTGAAAAAAGTGAAATACAACTACATGTATTAGCATGTATATGGTTGTCTTTGTAGGGTTGAAGATTTTTTTTGCCAAGATATACAAGATTTAAGGTACACAGCATTTTAAAGTCAACATCAAATACATGGATTCAGTTCATCATTTACTTATCATTAACTGATGAGACCATTCATTACTGAACACCACACATCACTGAATTTTTCATACCACCATTCATATGCAACTGAAGTAGGATTTAAATAAAAATCAGGTTTTATTGGCTTTACATGTATATTTCACAGTATTGTGAATGGGTATTGTCACTTACAATGTAAATGTTTACAAGGCTTACACAAGAGATATTCTTGGTAAGATTATTTGTTGGATTTAGGTTCAAGGTGTACGGGATGCATTTACAGTGCAAGTTTATGAAACTCATGCAAGGATAGCTCTGGAGAAGGTAAGTTTTCTTTTCCATTCCTAAACATAGGGCTAATGTCGGTCATTTATTCTGTTTGTTAATTGATGCATCATTTCAAATGCACTAGATCAGCATTTCTGTGTCTGTTCAAGTGGGATTGTGTAAAGGAAGCAGCAGGATAGATATAGATCCTATTGTGGTCTACCACTATTAAAAAAAAAATCAGATGGTGCTTAAACAACAAATTTGAAAAACACTGTTTTTGATAATCTTCTGCAGTCTAAGGATTTTTTTCCCTTCTTATTACTGTCATACTGTTGTTGGTAAGTAGACATGTCTGTAATATTTGTTTAGTAAAAAGAACTAAAATTTTTATGTAATAATATATTACGAAATTTTAAATCAAATGTAGAAAACTCTTTTTCAGTAAAATCATTCATAAGCATTATAAACTGTTCTTATATCTGTAACTCTTTTTATGGTTATGAAACTGAAATGAGGAGTACTCATAGCTAAATTACCAGATAATTAAATTAGGTTCTTATTCATATGAGATTCAAATATGTATTAAACTGATAACACTATATCTGAATCTGGGTTTGTAGATATTAACTCCAAAGTTTACTTTTTGAAATAATATAAAACAATAATGTGCTACATTTTAGTAGTTTCTGCAGAATGAAGTATGTTATTAAGTACATTAATAATTTTTTTAATCTATGATATAAGTATTGAGGATTGCTGAAAGAAAAGGGTATTTCCTATATGGGACAAAATGTTAGTGTGGAGATGATATGCCTGATATTAAATTCTTTACTGTCCACTGTTAATTCTGAGGAAGGGACTTATCTTGAAATATTATAATAATAAATAAATCTTTTAAAAAGCATTATTTAGTCAATTGATTTTTTGCTGAATGAAATAATTTGGAACTTCAGAATTACTTTGTACAGATTATGCAGCTTCAAATATCTTTATGAATTCACATGTTGTAAATGTAAATTACTGATTTTTATGTCTTCCTACATTCTTTTAAAACTTTTCTAAAAAGTTTTTATCTTGTAAAACTTTAAATTTTATCTTTGTTTTGATTCCATAAACAACAAATATAGTTTTAATGATTTTTTTATGATCACTGGCTTTTTGTAAACACAACCTAATGAATAGCACTTTGTTGATAAAACAAAACTTTTTACAGTTGAGTGCAAAATGATTTAACTAAGCCTAAGTAATTGTAAACCACAAAAACTTTTCTTTTTCTATCATAATTCAATTAAGTAGAAAATGATAAAGCAGGCTTTAAAAAAAAAATCATTATTATAATTGTAGTGGGAATTGTTCACATTCACCTTTTCTTCAAGCAATATACCACCAGATTAAGTTTTTATCACTTTGTGGCGATCTCTGGTGAATCATCTCTGAACTGGAAGCATTTTTGACTTTTACAGTTGAAAAGAACAAAACAAGAGCTTTTGTGATGCATGTAGTTCAATAACATCTTACTTCACGAAACTGAGATTTAGGCAATTACATCACACCTTGACATCTGAGCTCGATAAACAGTGATTGGCTAAAAATCAATAGAACTACACTAATTTTCGAGTTGCATGGACAAATTAGCAATATTTTGTTAACAACTATTATGACTTTCCTCTGAGGTGGCTACAAGTGTCATATTATCCTTAGAAAAAATTCACAAAAGACTAATGATTTCATTGTGAGTGAATTGAATCAACTGAAAATTAAAATATAAGGTTAATGATGAACAGTAGTACGATGGCAAAAACAACAAACATTTGGCATGTGTTATGGTAAACATTTCATTCTTAAATATTTTGGAATGTACACATTTCATCCTCAGTAAGCTATATACAAGGTAAAGTATTAGGTACAAAAATTTCTAACATGTTGTAAAGAAGAATTAAAATATGGAGTAAAAGGATGAAGTTAATTAAAAAAAGGATAGTGTAACAATATTATACAAGTTATTCAAAACATACATTATGGTAGTGAAGATGTGTTAGTATTTAAAGTTGGGAGTTAATTTATATGAACTGTTGAAATGTTTAATCAAGATGGAGTCGTTGCTGTTTTCTCTGTGTATGCGAATTGCGGAGTCTGAAGGATCTGATAGTTGTTTACCAGTTCTTGATATTCCCGTATGTTTGCAGGTGTAATTGGCATATAGTTTTGCCAATGTAACTGGCATTATAGCCACTACTTGTGTATTTATACATGATCCTGGAATGCATAGGGGTAGATAATTGGTCTTAAGACCTTAATAGATTTTGAATATTGAAAGGTGATTTAAATATCACTTGTAGTTTAACTTGTGGATAAAAAGTTTTAATTATTCTTAAAATATGTGACTTCAGTATGAAACTTAGTTTACCTAAAAAGGTTATTTCATATAATTTCTTTAATTCAATGGTGTAGTTTTACTTTTGAGGCAGATTGTACCCATCTGGGCATGAAAAGGTTGAGTTAAACTTAAGGTTCAGAAGGAAAAATCCAAAACAGTTGATTGAGGACATAGAAGAAGACTTTTTTTTTTTTCAAGGGTGACCGTGAAGAATTTAACCAATGTCAGACGCAACTGAAGGCTCTGTACTTAGAGACTGGAATAGGAAATCGACTTGAATTTACTGGATATAGAATTTTGTATTACATTTTCTCCAAGAGTACTTTAGGTAAGTGTATTAAATAAGCTTAATATTAAAAAGACAATTGAAATAATATTGTCAAATGTGTTAAATGGTTAAATAAGCAAATTAAAGCTTAATAAAGGACAGCTTTTTACTTTTGTTCAACATACTGCTTTTTTGAATCCCCTTCACATCTTAAGTAAGAGATTCTTTTTTTATGTTCTTATTGTATCAGATTGTAGTTTTTGTATTAAGTTCAGTATAATGCTTATTAACCCTTTCCATATGGGTTACAGGTGAAAGGCCATGTCATCTCGTTTGTTGACTCACATTCAAAATTTTATTGAACTTCTGTTACGTGAATTTATGTCAATAACTTTGGTATCAAACTGTAGATTATAATTCAAATTTTAGAACTATACATTACTTTATTTGTTAATTTAAAAGAAAATATTAAAAAAATGCAGATAAACCAATTTTTGTGTGTCACGTTGTATAATGAATGCAGCACTGGTTCAAATTAGATGTTTGTAAAGTCAAAATACTAAGTCTATAGTTTTATACGAATTAGAAACTCAAATAAGGCCTTATCTTTTCTATTTGCTAAGATATTGCTCACGTAATAAATCAAACATAGTGACACCCTGCTCATCTCATTCCATTTTTGTAAACGCTCCCCTATAAACACTTCTGTATATGACATGAATAACCAATTGGAAGCTCAAAATCTCTCTCTAGTGGTTTTCTAAGCCTTTCTAACGTATCTAGCATCATTCTTTTAAATCTAGATTTCATTGAGGTAGGTTGTGTCTTTAATCTGCTCAAAATTTCATTATTATTTTTTTAGACCCAAATACAGCTTAGTTACTATGTTTGATAAATTATAGTATAATTCTATGGTATTGATGTAGTAATTTATGATTTTTTAGTTATTCAAAAGTATATATATAAAACCTAAAAAAAATATTTTGTTTCATGTCCTCCATGTGCAAAATATTTAAAGGTTTAGCAACCTACACCAAGCAGCAAACGAGTACAAAGGTCATAACTAGAAGAGATAATTGTTTGCATTACTTCTTTACTTACTGTTCTGTGTTTTTGGAAAAATAACTTCGAGAACTTTTTTTCAAAATATCAATAATCTATATACATATATAATGTATAATAATTGAAATGTGACTGTATTTTACAAAATACTAGTCCACTAAAACACAGCCAAGACAAGTTACTTTGTACAGACCAAAGGTCACCTTTACATTATTTGATACGGTAACATGAGTGCAGTGTCGTTGTCTGAAAGGTTCATATAATAAAGTAATAAATATATATAAATGTATAATGTTATGAGATTTAAGCTATTTTGTCTAAACATGTTATGTTTTTGGGTTATAATTTGTGTTCATTCTAGAATGAAAGATGCATAATTTATATTTATTTCCTAATTTTTTGTGGTGGTTGCGAGATCGGTCAAATTTACCGAACTCGTACAGAGATAACTATTTGGACATTATAAAGATTTTGCATGTGAAATTTCAGAATTTTCTGATGCATAAAAGTATTTTTAATATTAATATGAAAAATTACTTTGTATTATAGATAGGCAAGATGTGAAAAGAAAAACAAAGGATGAGAGAAACATTGCTTTACAAACCTTAAGACTTAATAAAAAAAATGAGATATTTTGCATATGAAAGCATTGTAATGTTTACTGATAAACTGCCAAATTTCTTTAGCATTCACTTACTAAGTTAAAAGTTATAGCATGAAAACGATAACAAGCACAAAATAGTTACGAGCCCGGGTTGAAAGAGTTAAAATAAAACTGTTACTATGTTGAATTAAAATTGCTTTTATAAAAGTTTAGAAAATATCTTTCTCAAAGCTAAGAAGTTCAAAGTTTTTCCAACTTTACAAAAATTATGTTTCCATTGTGTTTTACTTTTAAGAAATGAATTACGAAAGGAAGAAAATCATTAATTTCTCTGCATAATTTCCATGTAAATTAATAAAATATCAGTCAGCAAAATACATCCTTTTTATGTTATGAGTTATTTTATTTTTAAACACTAAAGATAAACAACTACCAGAATAAAAAGCATTTCATTGCTTTAACATTTTGTAAATAATATTTAAATAGGTAAATATATATTAAGAAAATTTTTTTTATCATAAATGTTCTGATTTCTCAATTTATTTGTACCAATAAAATACATTTTAATTACATTCTAATTATCTTGTGACCTATTATGCTATTCATGTTCATGGGTGTATAAAGGTGTATAAATTTTGATCTTCTATCAGAAGTGATTTATAAAACAAAGAAAATATATAAACATCAATTCTCTATGCTGCATTACATCATAACTTGTTACCTTTTTTAATACTCTGTTCACCATAATTTCCTGCTCCAAGCTATCATTACATTATGTTAATAGTGGGTTTAAACATTAGAACATGTGTTCAAAATAATTAGTGAAGACTGCTTCATTTTATACATTTATTGATCAGCCAGCTTTTCATGAACTTGTAAACATTAGTTACAAGATGATCAAAGGAATGTATAGGGAATGTTTGTGTATATCTGCATCGTGCCCTAGATTACCTCATGCCAAAGTTCAGTCTTAATTCCAGACTGTCAGCAGAACCTTTTCCTCTATCTATTAATTTAAAAGCATTACATAAAAATTGCATCATTACTGTACTTATCCTTCACACTATTGACCGCAGATAAATACCTTTAAACATATTTGTAGTATATTAAAGTAGACCTGTTCAGTAATGAACCTAAAATATACTAATCATATTAACACTGTGGGTCAGATCTCTACATTACTTAACGAACTTAAGTACACTTTTCACAGGTTTACTGTTTACCAAACTTGTATTTCTGATCTCAGACATGTGTATCACATTTTTCTGCTAGACTAGACCACTATACTACTAAACTCTTAATATCTTAATTTCTTTTCAGGCACATTAAGCTACTATATTAAGAGTAAAAAACACAAAAACTGACATCTTTTGACACAATGAAATCTTTATTATTTGTTACAACTGCCTAGTTTTAGTAGCACAGTTACCGTCATCATAGGTACTAGCCCTGCATTTCGATTCTACACACAACTTTTAGACTTTTAAAGTTTTAATATACCCTTATATTTTCTTGAGAATTGTTTAAAGAAATTACTACCTGGTACTTGATGGTTTTTTTTCTTTTCATTTTAGAATTGAGATCAGTTCTATCTTGTCTGTCAGCAGCAGAAAAAGAAAACGAGGTTATATCTCATGCTTTAAAGTTAATGTTTGCCTGGAAGATTGGAAATTACCATAGGTTTTTCAAACTCTATCAGAATGCTCCCAAAATGTCAGGTTATGTGATAGATTGGTTTGCAGAGAGAGAAAGGAAGCATGCCATTAAAGCTATGATCAAGTCGTATGTACCATGATAAGTTTTCTTTTCTTTCCTTTTTTTTTTGTAATATGCTAGAAAAGTGTAGTTTCATTTAAACAACAACAACAAAAATTAATATATATGTATATAATACGTGTATTTAAGTTCACTGTGGAAGAAAAAAAAAAGATTTTGGTATCATTGTTTACTTTTAAGAATATCTATATAATTATTTTTGTTTCTAGGTAAGACTGATTTGAACCCTTAATAATTCCTGTAAGTAAATATTCTAGGGTATCTATCATGTCGTTTAATATTACTGTTACTTTTTGTCTGTAAGAAAAGAGGAGGTAAGTATATTCTGTTTTATGATTGTTGGGAATAAGAATGATGCATACACATTAGATTATTTAGAATATATATATTATCTCAAAAGTAATTTATTTGATTTTGGATAAGATTAAACAAAATAATTTTAAAAACACAAGCATGATTTTGCCAGGCTAGGTTGGCATATTGTTCTTAGTAATGTGAGTTTCAGCTGGGTAATTATGATTGATCACAGCCTAAATTGAGAAAGTAATCATGCAAACATCTTTCTTTTGATTAATTTGTTAAAACTAATAATAATTCTGTGAAAATGCATATAAATAGCATGTTAAACCTCTATTTAATCTATTGTAATTGCATTGAAATACTATTATATAGGTGAATGTATTGTACAATTACAAAATCCTACATATATGACTCGTGTCAGTTGCTAGGCAAAAAAATACATTGTTTATAATAGCTTATTGTTTTCATGCTTTATGTTATTATAAACACCACATGTTTCTGTACAATACTCTGAGAACCAATGAGTGAAAGCAAAGATGTACTAATTAATAACACAACATGATATATGTTAATGTTTTAACACTGGTTTTTTATTTATTTATTTATATTTATTATTATTTTATTTTAATTAATTTTGCTACCAATTAGCAAATCAGCAAGCTAGTTAAACAAATGTTTGATCCATTACTATGCATATTTATAAGAGATAAGCAACAAACCATGTAAACAGTTATCTGTTCACTGGCTTTCTATGTAGCTTTTAATCATTCAACAAATCATAAACATTTAGATCCATCTGAGAGGTTCTAATGTATAGTTTGCTATTCAGTAGTATGTGACAAGTACTATTTAGTAGCAATGTTTGCTATTTGTACCTTAAACATCAAGTATAAGTGTTGCTACAAAATCTTTACTCAGGTGTCAGTTGTTTGGATCCATTCATACAAATATTTATTTCTAACATAAACTTGAAATATTAATTAAGTTTTTAGCATTATATCTGAATCTCAGTAAAATTGTGTTTTTTAATACGAAATTTGTCATATCTATATATAATTTTTGTAAATATAATTTTATTTGAAATGCCTTACAGATTAGAGCTTTCTTTATGTTCTTAAATCACTAATCTGTGGCTTCTCAAAGCTGAGATACAAGCAATTGGATCACACCATGTTGACCAAGATTGGTAAACAGTGATTGGCTAAAAATTGATAAAACTCTATTTCTATGGAGTTATAAGGTCAAGTTAGCACTATTTTGTCCAAAACTATTATGAGTTTCCATCTTTGAGCTATGAGGATATGGGCTCAGAAAAAAATTGTTAAACACTAATGACTTCAATTTAGAACATACTGAAATAAACCCAAATCAAAATTTGCAATTGTTATATATATATGCAAGCTGACAATTGAACAAGGTTAGGTAACTAGGTGTAAACCAGACTAGAAGTCTCGGCACACAGCGTTTGTGATAAGGAACAGTAGAAGCACATCAAATGGTTCTGAAAAATAACACTTCAAGAAGTTTATTCCTGAGTAGAAGGTTTGGGGAATCCTGAAACTCTGTTACTAATTTATTCACATATAAGTTCATTCACTAGAAATATGGTTTCTTCATAGTGAAAGAGACTCATAAGCTTTGAAACTTCACCACCAGGAGTTACTACCAACACTGGGATCTGAACTAGGCAGGTGCACAGTGATCATAGATTTGTTCCTTATAAACTCTTCAAAACTTTTAAATTTGTCTGTTCTTCTTTTTTTTAATGCCACCAAACATGTGTCCCTAATTGTAATAGGATGGGATTACACAGGTTTTCCTATTGTTAAAAAGAGAAATATAGTGGCTTGTTTTGATTAGGTTTAACAACTGTCATCCCCAAGTATACATCACATTTTATATGCAGGACAGACTTGGGAAAAAGACTAGGTAAAAGAATCTGCTTATGATAAGGACATTTTTAAGACCTTTGCTTTATATATTAGATGTTGGAGCAAGTCTACCCAACCAGGAGCAGTTGTCTCAGTATAGCATCTTTTGTTTAGATCAGATATTGCTGGTCTGAGTATGGAAAACTATTGTCATTTAGAATTAAATTTAAACATAATTTCTAGCAATAAGAAAGTATCTTAAAATATGTTGAACAGTTGCTTTGAAACACTTAGTAATTTCATTTATGTATGTAAGCCACATGTTTTGACATTTCCTAATCAAATTATCTAATAAAGGTCTAAATGCATATTGTAAATGAAAGTGAAGTTTTTAATGTTTTTGGTGGCAGTTTTGAAGAAAAAAAACATTTCATTATTTCTAGTGATTATCAACTAATAAATTTTCATTATTTACCTAAATGTTTATATTGAATATAATGGAAGGTTATTTTTTATTTTCTAGTGTTGTTTTGCATAACATGTTTATTATACTCTCTGAATATTTCTTTAGTGAAGACACAAGCCTAAAACTTGTGTATTATAATTTTTCTTATTAACATAGATGTGTGTGTGTATGCAAAAAGTTGTATAGCACACTCGAAAGGGGATTATATTTAAAAATGATATACAGAATTTTGCCACTAGAAGAAAAAAATCCAGGACAATTTATAAAAATAGTAGATAATTCTATGTTGACCTAAAATTCTTTTTTTTGCTACGGTGAGACTGTGGTTTGGACAGCTTTTGAAGGTCCTTTAGTTTTTGCATACTATAAAAGAAATTGTTTGTACACATTTTATTTACAGTTTATAATGAATACATTGTGTAGCTGTTTATGGAAGTCAGTTACTTAAAGTACTCTTAAAAGTTATTTATGATATTTCACATGTTTGTATGTATAAATATGGGTTTACAGTGTGAAATAATTTTTATTTGGTAGTAAATTTTTTTGTTAGCTTTTATTCCATGTTTAATTTTAAATATTCTTAATCTTTTTAACCAAATTTTCATCTTTTTTTTTAGTGATAGTTAACTTCAGATCAGAACAAGCTACGTAGTTAGGTCAATACTAAAAATTAACCCAGTAATGAGTATAGCTAATTATATATACTTACATTCTTGCCTGTAAAGATTAGAATGCAATTTTTTCTTCAGCTTAGCACCCTTCCTCTTAACGATATGATAAAGTTATAAAACTGATGTTTATTCAAACATATTTCTTTCAGTTTTGCTGTTTTTTGTTATGCTAAAATTATCAGTAAAGGTACAGTAGATTTGATTCTGATAATAAGTAATCTGTTAATTCATCAACTTTCATTTTTACATAAAGCTTTAAAGCAAAAATCTTTAAGCATGTGTGATTTTTTTAACAGTTACTCATAATCAGTTAATATTTACTTTTTTGTTTACGAAATACTGAACTTTTATAACCATTTCTCCCACCTATTTTGACCAATAATTTTATACTTTAATAATCTGAAAAAGATAATCAAATATTCTTTGAAAAAAGTGTTAGGAATTTTACAAACATTCGATTATATAAACTTGTGATTGATTTGTTTAGTCCTAAAAATTATCTTGGTGGATATTTATTTTTGCTCAAAAATGTTCTAAGAAATACTAATATTTTTTAATTACAAAATATGTAGTTTAGTCTGCCTTGACACTGTGTGTAGTGTTTTTACAGAGATAGGAAAAATTGTTGTGAATCCTTCTTTTTTACTTGGTGAAAGATTTTTTTTTTCTACTGTAATCTTTTTTTTTCCAGTTCTATGCACCAGTTCATGTGAGTATGTTTCTGCTTTAATATTCAATTTTGATTTAGGGTTTTACTTGTTTGGTTAGAAGGAAGGTAAGTGAGTTTTACTCAGTTTATATGGTTTACATAAAAAAATGTATAACTGCTTGTTAATATAATTTCCTCATTTTCTGTAGATATCGTCCTGTCTTACCTGTAGCATACGTTCAGAGTGAGGTAGCCTTCGACAATCGTGATGATTGCCTCCAGTTCCTGAGGCAGTTTAATGTGGCCTTTGCTGATGAGGCCTGTACTAAGATCGACTGCAAGGAGTCTGTAACTTCAGTCATGTCATCAACATCTTAGATTAATGAATATGTGACATCTGTGTATGACAGAGCCAATATTAAGAAGGCAAGGAAGAGATGAATGTGAATTTCATATTTTATCTGTCCATTCACAGAGTAAGAAGGGAGAGATAACCTTTACGTTCCTCCTTTTATTGTGTTGCTTTTACTTATAGACTGTTAATTGAGGAGCTGTTGGTGCTGAATCCAGTTCATTAGTGCCGTCTGTTTCTTCTAACTGTTGCCACAAGAAAAATTTATTTTTTTATGATTATTCTAATGACTTCGCACAGAGAAATAGAATAATTGAACTAACTTAAAAAGACTGTTATAAGTATTATAAAATATGAATCTAGTTTGAGAACTTTTAAGAACTTTTATATCTGTACATTATTTTCATATGTACAGCCCACAAAAAAAAGAAAAATCTTCATTGCACTTCTATGGTAATAGATTTAGAAGGACATTTTTAGTAGAAGCAGCAGCTGGAAAGTGTTTATCTGTGTTCTTTTCCTTTTACAGATGAAGACTCCATATTTCCATTAGTTTTCTCAAGTAATTGCTATTATTTGATCCAAGAATGATTTTGATTACAGTTCAGCTTAGGTAATCCAGTGCAAGAAAATTTTTAACAAGTTCATTTTGGATGTTGATCCGCATACCATGAAAATGAGGTCATCTTCTTCAGCGTTTGGTAATGTAAAAAATCATCAAGTTCATTTCTGATGTCCAAGTAGAGTTGAATTACAAGCTATCTAATTTAGTATTCTGGTGATAAAGGGCTTTCAGCAAGTACATTCGTCTGTCTGAAGGTCATCAAATTACAAGTCATTTTGTTGAATGTTCGACTGTGAACCAAGTCCAAACTTGATGGTGAGGGACCATGGAAACACAAGTTCATCTAGCATAGTCCTCCAGGTTTTTCAACGTCATCAGATGCCACAGAATTACAGGCCATCCATGTTAGCATTCAGGTGTGTGAATAAGCTTCGTACGTATCTATTTATGTTTGATGCAGAGAATTAGTCATCATTTATAGCATTCAGGTTTGAGATTATTTTCATCAAATGCATTCCTGTTTATCATATGTCATCTGTTTTTGGATTTAGTGCCAAAGAAGATTTCAGCAAGTTCCTGATATTTTAAGTTGCTCAGTATAACAGCCTTGAAGAAATATCCAAACCTCCCTAAGTTATCTCAAAGTATTGTGGATGTGTAGGTCACCTATGTTAGTGTAAAATTTCCACAAGCGTATTCCTGATTGGCAAAGATCAGAGATTTCACATTTAAAACTGAGAAAGAATGTCTTAATGTCATTAAGCCTTAAGTTAATCCACATTCAAAATCTTCCTTGAAATTGTACTTCATATTTGCTCTGTCATAACTGATGTGGTTACCTGTCCTTGGGATGTATTGAGGGAGCAGTAATTCAGCGCAGCGATTTATCCTCATCTCTTTTCTGTTTTTCACAGTCGTTTTCTCTAACCGTGGTTTAGTAGCTATAGCTACGGTGGAGAAATGCTATGCCTTCATGTCTTCTTTGTGAAATATGTGTTGAAAAGAATTGTATATTTATCTTTAGATTTCCTAGCCTTTCATATCACACAGCAGATTCAAGTTTTGGTATAGCAGGTGAGCAGTTCCATCATCAGAAGTTCCTGTTCTGGTTGATAGGATCCTTTCAGCTGTTATTTAACCAGTTGAAGCATTAATTTACATCCAGAGTTGATAATATCAGCAGAGGAATTTTTACTGCATATGTATATATATATATAGATATATATTTGTTCATTGTATGTAACATTGTAAAACAAAAAATTAAAAAACTTAATAATCCATAGTGTGATTTTAAAGAAAAACTGATGGATTTATATAAATATCACATGTTTATATATGGCCCCATCATGTATAATAAACTACTTTTTTTTATTTAGTGCAAGTTTAAGTCTAGTTGCAATTTTGTCAAATACTCTGAAAAGTTTAAAATCCACTAAAGCACATATAATGAATTACAATATTGTTGAGCATAGTACAGAATAATGTGTTCAAAGAAACATTGAAAATGCGAGTGTAAACTGACTTAGAATGAATGATTTTTGGAAACAGATTACCTCACTATGAAAGTTACCATAGATGTTGAAATTTCAGAAGGTTTTTTTTTATTAAAGCAGGACAAATGAAAATAAATTAGACTTTTAAAATGGTAGGAACTTAGAAAACTTACTTAAGGGTTAGATAAAGAACACTGAAAACTTAGAAAATGATTTTACAAAGTACATACAACTTTGTAAGGTGCCGTCATACCATTGTTTTATATATTTTAAAATACAAATTATCAGTATTTTAAGGATTCAGGAATAGTTGATGATAAATATTAAAATTGTGATTATACGCATACAGTTTTAAGTAGTACATGCCTCATAGATGACTGAGAACAGTAATATTTTAAATTTTCTGTTGTTTCTTTGATTTCTAGCATGTATACAACAAATAAAGTAATTGAAGATATAGTAACATTTTACTTTTTTATTAATTTGAAATGAAGCAATTTTTGGCCAGTGACGTAAACAAATATGAAAGATCTAAGTATTTAGTATTATGTGTGATCTTCATTTTCAGTGCTTTACATGTACGAGTTTAGTGTTCAATTATTTTTTTTTATATTTATTTAAAAATTATAAGGGAGTGGACTTGGAATCATATCTGCATAAGAAGATACATACATATACAAGTTTGATCATGTTTATTGTTTAGTAGAAAAGTATAACCATCTCATAAAAAAAATCGTTAAAAAACACAGTGCATTGTATAGACTGTAATTTGGCTAAAACCTTTAGCAATTTTTCTCTTATTCAAAGCAACTGAGACTTGGTCTTGATGTGACCTAGTGGTAGTGTATCATGTTGCTGGTTGAAGAGCCTAAGGTTTGAGATATGATGGCTCTAAACACGCTTTTTCACTTTCAGCTATGGGTGTGTTATCAAATTGACCACCAATACCATTATTTGGTTCAAAGAACCAGATTTGGAGCAGTTGATGCTGTTTACTGGTCAGTAGTTCAAAATTAGAGGTGTCTATACCAGAATCTTAAGAAGTCTTTGACATGGCCATTTAGTGCACATGTGCATAAAGTGATGTTTGGGTTGAAAGTTCTGTGTCAAACTTTTACAATTCAAATTGTCACTACATTGGAATTGCTTTTACATTATAATTAAGAAAATTAATTTAAAAATGAGGCTTATGTGAAATAATCTGAGAGATGGATTTGAGTTTTTTAAGGTTTAACCTCTCAAAGATTTTAATAAGTTGTACTATATAATATGTATTTCAGAAACTTGGTGAAGCTTGGTGCTTTCGTTGTATTCTATGAACCTCTTGTTTTAGTTGTTTTAACTGCATTTATTTTATAAATAAAGATGAAACCTAATGTTTATCATAAATGGTGAGATTCTGGCGATCAGAGGCACTTCGGGTAGAATATCTAAAGGTTTTTTATTCTTGGGAAGAACTGGAGTCAACAAATAAGTGTGAAATCTGTAGTATGAAAGTTCAGAAAGACCTGTTTGTGATTGAATAAATCGAAAACAGCAAAAGAAAATCTAAATATAAGCATAAAATAAATACCAAATGTCTTCATTTCTTATAAAGGAAACTTGCGGGAATCTTTATTATATGAACTAGCTGGCACCTACATTGTTCAAAATTTTCTGGCTGGTGAAACAAGGGAAGAACACAATACAACTCCACAAAAACAACAGGATTGTGTCTATAACATACATTAAAGTCGGACCAAAGTCCTAATATGATATCCCACAATCATAGATTACTTATATCGGAGATCATTTTAATATAATTTCAAAGAAAAATTAACTCTTAACTTGTAAAAATCTACATCGCCCCTTCCTGGACAGTGGATACACCTGAGTAAAGAAATATTATGCCCTATGTCCAACTAAAAGAATTTAAGAGTATAATCAGGTAGATATTAACTGATAACGATTTTAGATTAGTTTACCTATATATTTAGGGGCAAACCATTAATGGTTGCCGTTACATACTAGTATCAGATCAGATTATTATAAATGTAATACATTCTGTTTACAAACAACCTTTAATTTTTTTAGTTTAATTAAATTAAACTTTGTGCACTACGATAATAAATAAGAGCTTCATAATTTTTAAACTGATATGGAACTCTTAAAAGGAGAAATCAAACTTCATATTGTTTAAAATAGTATCTATCCAAAAATAGCGTTTGTATACTGAAATTTCAATAATTTAAAAATAAAACTAATATAATTTTTTGTTATATATTGAAAGTAGAAGGAAGAAGGTGTGGAATTAATATCTAATATTTATACAACTACTTTTAAGCAAAGTTAATTTGTTATACATAAGAATGTTGATTTTATATTTTTGTTTTTAACCCGAAGTTTCATCAACCCCAGGACTTCGAGTCAATGTTCTATTACCAGCGTCAAGATGCTTTATACTTGTCTCACAAACATGCCCCCAGTGGCACAGCGGTATGTCTGCGGACTTACAACGCTAGAATCCGGGTTCCGATACCCTTGATGGGCCGAGCACAGATAGCCCATTGTGTAGCTTTGTGCTTAGTTACAAACAAAAAAACTCACAAATAGGAAAAACAGTCGATTGAATCCAATTTTTTTTTTATCTTAAAAACATGTGATTGAAATTACTGGAAGGTGATTGGTGAAGCTAATCCCAACTTGTTAGCATGTAATTCGATCCCTTTGATATTAAAAATACGAAATTCTTATAAGTTAAAAGAATTATTGAGAAAAATGTATATCGGAAAAGAAATATATTTTGGAAAGTGGGTGTCCATGTTTTAGGAGTAGGTTGCAACTAACCGTTGTCGTCATAACTTCTTTTCAGGCACTTTGTGATACTGTATATTGAACGTAAAAGAACAAACGCGATGTTTTTGGCCCAATGAAAGATAAGTGCTTGTTTGGCTGAAACATCTACTAAAGATCTGATATTTCATTTATATTTTAAAAATATCAAAATTGTGAAATAACACGTATATGGGATGGAACCAAAATCAGGAGTAGTTTTAAATAAGAACGACAAAAATGTGTTTAAGCAAGAAGTAATTCCAGAAAAATTTGGAACTTACCAATAAAATCACTTAATGATACAGAAAATAAAAGATTGAAATATCAATGATAAGAAAAAAGAAACGAAATCCAATTATAGCATTATTAATGTAATATCAGAAATTTGTTTCCAAACAATTTTCTATAATGTTTCCAAAAAATTGTATTAAAGAATGAAGCTTATTAACCCTCTTAAACATTGTGACATAAAGGTAAAAGATCTTCATCTGTTTCTTAATGCCCCCAGTGGCACAGCAATGTGTCTGCGGACTTACAACGCTAGAAACCGGGTTTCGATACCCGTGGTAAGCAGAGCACAGATTGCCCACTGTGTAGCTTTGTGCTTAAATTCAAACAAACAAGCTGTTTCTTAATATACATACAAATGTTTCAATTCGGTGTTTGAGTACTCATATTTCCAAGTAACAATCCAAATAAGCCATGTATTTTTTTTCTCTCTCCCTAATTAATTGAATGCGTTATTTCTAATGAACGTATCCATTTATAACTTACCAAAATAAATTTCACAAAAACATTGTGTATGCAGTATAGCCCGCTGGTTTAAGTAAAAGGAAATCAAAACTTTTTTCTATCGTATTTTCATAATGCCTGTAAGAAAGGTTTAATACTAGGGTCAAGGTTCATGGCCTATTGGTTGACTGTTAAAAATGCTAATCTGGTAGGCTTCTTTATTTTTCTGGCAGCTTTTGATATAAATTGTGTTTAAATACTAATGAGAACCATGTAATTTAATGAACAGGAAGGCTTTTTTTTTCTTTTTAAATCTTGACAAGGGATTTGTGGTTATTAAACCGTTATCTAAGAGTAGTCTGGCCTTGAACTGAGACAAGGAGAATAGACGTTCAGTAGCGTATTATAATTGACTTTGGGCTGAACAAGGATATATCTTAAAGCTTTTATTTGGGGGGGGGGGGTATAAGCAACAGGAATATCGAGGAAGACATACTTAAAACCGTTCACTAAACTGTAGAAGGTAGGAATATTTATTGTAAGAATTAGTGAAACCTTAAATTTTGGATAATATGTGATGACCAGAGCAATTCTGTTAGGCTACTTAGGGTTAGACTAGCTAAAGGCAGTAACGTGAAAGTTTGACAACTCTTTCAATCTGTTTCTCTATTTCAAAAAAAATTAAAACCGTATTTCATGAATATATTTAGCATTTCACTGTGTGTTGTGTAACCATCACTGTTAGATTTTTTTTTTTTAATGGCGGATTTGACTACAAGTAACGTGTTCGTTTGATGTGGGTCAAACGACAGTTTTGATAATGGGGATAATGGTGGCCTGTCTGCATAGATGTCTAAGTAGTGGGCAAAAATAGTACGCACCACCCCACATTGAATATTTTTTTCTAAAAAATATTTCACGCCATGTTTCGCTCAGCAGTTCTTTCTTACCCTTGCCGCTCCACTTTTAAGCAAATTTAGGCGCCCATGCAGGAACGTCGAGAGCCAGCACGGGTCCCGGGGCAAACATCCTCGCCGGGCCCCCTTTCTCTCTCTCTCTCTTTTAACATTTTCAAGAATTTATTAAAAAGAAGATCCTAAATTAGGACAGCAACGAGCGCATAAACCAGACAAAATCATAGCAGCAGCCGTTTTTACCTCAAAGTATAAGTGTAAAAACGTTACTCTATTAAGTCTATAAAGTAACAAATACATATTAATTATTACTCAAATTATTATTTCAGTCGTTCTTAATGTATTAAGCGTCTATGTGCAAAGAAAAGCCAAAAAACTGTGGTTGTTATCATTAAATGAAGATGTAGCCTAAAGATACTTTGCGGGCTTTACGACATAACCAGGTTTCGTTCGCCCTGGTCAGTTGCCCCCTTTGTCCACCCCTGTTGGCGGGCCTGCGCCTATGCTCTCTTTCTTCTTTTTTTATCTGCAATAATGACCTATACACAGAACCACTAAATTTAACAAAATATTTTGTAATTATTTCAATAAGGAAGTAAAATTAATTAATTGAATTTTAACATCTAGTATTGTAAGTTGTTTAAAATTATGCTAAAATGTTTTGTATAAAGTTGTTAATTTGGAACCAGAGACCGCAGGAAGAAAATAGTGTGATTGCGTATACATAAGCTTGTACAGTTTATGGGAATAATTTACACAAGCAAACCACCCTCACATAACGAGAGGTTCAAAGACTTGCTTGGATGGAATATCAATGAGAGAAGAAGAGAAAGAATAGGCAATTTTGACAAACACAGATTAGTAGTACTTATTTTACAATTAACGTAATGTTTCCATCTTGAAATGCCCCCAGTGGTACAGCGGTATGTCTGCGGACTTACAATGCTAGAAACCGGGTTTCGATACCCATGGTGGGCAGAGCACAAACAGCCCATTGTG